GGAGCCACCAGCCACGGCAGCTGGGAGCTGTGGGGTCCCCAGCTGCCCAGCAACTGAGAGCTGCTGGGCCCCTACCAGCCGACAACCCCAGTCATGCTGCCTCGGGACTGAAGCAGAAAATGTAATGGAGGTCTCTGGAAGTCGCAGATTCCGTGACCTCAGTGACAAAATCTTGGCCTTAGTTATGTCCAGTCCTGAAGGGCAGTCTGATTGGAACTGAACTACAGCAAGTGTTTAATAATGTACAGTGACACTAATAAAAGATAGTTTAGGACACAAAGTGAAGGATACTGTATGTAACTGAAATTACTTTGGGCCAGGAGTATTGCCCTGAAAACAAACACGCACACACACATGTGCGTGCACACACACACACACCCCACTTCCCACTTTTAACTACCTTATACAAGACTCTGTTTTTATGCTGTTTACTAATGCACACCTTCTCTCCAAGTGTCTGAACAGTAATACATCTTATCTTATGAACTCAATTTCTCCTCCACTAGACAGAGCTTAGCTTTTGCTTTGATCTATAATAATTCAGTCCAGAATTATCATATATTGGAGGGGTCTGGAAATCTGTTTTGAAAACATTTTCATATTCTTTCAGCCTATGCCCTTATATGTTTACAGAAGACTTTTTAAAAATCATGGTGCTGAGTTTTGGAATTTCCTGATTAGAAGAATATCAGGATGCTGAGAATCCTCTTGCTTTGGTTGTTCTGCCCACCACTCCTTACTCTTAGCTAGTATTTGCATGCCTATATTATTTATTACTGTCTGCATTAGTCAGATTTGTGTTGAAATACGTGAGTGTGACATATCATACTAGGAGTTTCAGAAAGACTTCTTTTTCAGACAATTACAGCTTATAGGACCCAGTGTAAAAATGTCTGTAAAAGGATTTATGCTGTGGCTCAAAGTGTTAAAACTAAGAACAAGTGAACGATCATTGAAAGAGCTTAGTACAATTTCTTTGCAGTTAAAGACTTTTTTGTTGATTAATATTTCTATTTATAAATACCTTTTTTTAACTAACAGAACTGAACACTAATGAATCCCTCCATAGAGAGGGTGCCACAGAACATTTAGGGGCAGGGAGTGATTTTATTTGTGCCTTGTTACCGTGCTGATCATGTTGTATGTAGATAACAAATAATAAATTTAATCACTCCAAGTAGTTTTTAATGGTACCTGCTGTGCATGCAAGCAAGTATGAGTGAGTGTGTGTGTGTATGTGTGTGTATATATATATATATATATACACACGTGTAATATATAGTACAATCAAATAGTAACGTTTATAAAGAACTTCCACTTCATTTTGAATGAAAGATGCTATAGAAATATAAGATCATTACCATCAATGGCACCAATTCAGCAAACCACTTAAGCAGATGCTTAAATCCATCCCATTCAGCAAACACTGAAGCACATAGCCACATCTTTTAAAAACTTTGATAAAGCTGGTACCGGAGCTTACTGGTTTCCATGATCTGATGAAAAAGAAAACAAAATTTATGAAACATTACTGGCATGCCAATGCTTAGCTGTTGTTTGAGACTAAAACTCTAGAATAGTGACAACTAGATTTATTTTTTGGTGGCAAAGAGAGAGTAAACTTTTTAAAATAATAAGATAGTACACATTGTTGGGATCATGAATAAATTAATATGATTCAACAGTGTCCCCATAAAGGAAAGATAAACTGGTGCTTACTCTCTAAGAGATCAGTAAGATAAATTGTACAGGAAATATAGAAAAACAAGGGTGCTTCAGGCACGCCATATCAAATGTATAAAGATTTTTCTTTACATTTGCTCTGCAAGCCATCTTTCTTAACTGGAAAAGTACCTGGAAGTTTAATCTTGATTATTGTCAACATTTTCTGAAAGCTGCAGCCAAAACAGTAGATGAGTCTATATTAATAAGCAGTTTGGGAGTAAATGCTACAAAATTTGATTCCAGATACATAATTGGCATACACTACAGGTAAAAATTTCAAAAGCACCTCCGTGACTTAGAAGTCTAAGTGCCATTTTTAAAGAGTTTAGACACTAGAGAGACAACGTCTCATTGAAAATGTGAATGAAATACTGGACCCAGAGAAATAAATGTGATTTTTGCTATTGAATTCATTTTGGCCAGGATTTCACCCTTAGGGCAGAAGTTACTTTTCAAAATTAAATTTAGGCTCCTAAGTCTCTTAGGTGCTTTTGAAAATGTTATCCAAGGTGTTTATAATCAGTTACATATGATTTAACATATGTTTTAATTACACAGAAAAAAATCTATTTAAACAATTTTGGTTTTGGTTCTTTTTCACTTTTAAAATATGAATATTACTATTGTGTGTTAAACAGTTATGGTTACTTTTTCCTTCCGATGTATTTCAGGGCATTGTTGTTCTATAATATAAACACTTTGTATTTGGAAAATATGAATTATTATTCTATAAAAACACTAGGATCTCAGATCTCAGTTTGAAAATCTTGTTCCCTTCCCCTCACCCCAAAGTTCCTCCTTTCAGATTTATGAAAGAAAACATTTCTTTCTGTAAAAGGTTTTTGTATGCTAGCATCTGGAAGTGTTTATTTCAGTGGCGTGTAATCTATCTGTGGATTTAGTTAGCACCAGACCCCCTTTTGTGTACTCCTGACTTAAAATTTTTATAAATGATCTTGTTGAATTTGTGCCAGCGTGCACATGGTTTGGCTGATTGCTGCATATATCCTTTACCTGCCAGTCACCTTTGATTTATATTCCTTCCTCTGCTTTTGCCTTCCAAAAATGGTGCCACTGAACTGTCCTCTAAATCATCTTATTGGATAAATTACTCCAAGATTAGATGATACATTTTTGGCTGCTTTATGGACAGAATGCAGTCCTATAATCCATGCTTACCCACTTTCTGTAGAACCATTAGGAAGGAGCATTGGACAAGGGAAACTCAAGCTGTTGCTACTTGTTTATTACAAACAATTCTTTAAAATACTGTGCAAAATGCTGCAGGTTTGTGCAGTATTTTATTGGGATAAATAAATAGTGGAGATGACTTGTCCAGTAGTCCTCTCTGAATGGGACTACTCCTGAGAATAAGATCTATATGATCAGCCCCTAGCATTAATATTCAGAAGAACTGCATACACAGGATTTAAATTTAAAGCTATTTTAAAGCATTTCATTTGGAAAGGATTTAAAAGTCTATGTAGTATACATGACAATATTTTTGATTTTTAGAAGCTCTGTTGCCCTCTTTAAATTCAACAGCTAAACATTTTCAGGATGACAAAGGTTTTGTAAGCTTTACTTAATGACATTACTAATTTGGAGGGTTTTATGAAGTTTCCTGGAGAAAAGCAGGTGGCTTGGCAATAATTTAAAAGTTTCACTATTTGTGGTAGCGGTTTCAAGGGGTTTCATATTTCTAAAGAGAGAGACCAAACAGCATATTGCTTAAGAGTATCTGACACAATGATGTATCATTCTGGACTAAGTTTCTTGGAGTTCAATGGTCATTAAACATGTTGTTTGACTTTATATTACAGTTTCCCAGCTGTTTCTACTGGGGATAATCTTAACACTCAAAGAGAATTTAGTAATGAATGAAAGAGTTAGCACGCAGTGCTGATGAAACAGTAAGTTGCCTAGATAATTTTATTAAACAGGAACATAGATTTTTAGATAACACAAAAATGTCTTTTAACTACATATGAAAAGAACTGGCTCATTTTCTCTGGAGCACTGGGAAAGTATTTACAAATGATCTGGATAGCATTTGATATCCTGTGGGGACATTTAAAATTCTTGGATTGCACATACATCAGTGTCTTAACACACAACACAGTACGTGAATTGTTGCAAGCAGCATACAAGACTTCTAAGCAGTATAGATGTGGTCCTGTTCAGCCAGGAGATGTTGGCATAAAGTGACTCTGCACATGAAGTTTGCACTACAAGCGTGCAAAAGACCACTACTGTCATATCTTTTCACACACTTAGTGCTAGCAGTGCAAGTGCTTGTTTAGTTACATGTGTGCAGCATGAATGTATCTAATTGTTTATTTCTTTAGAATCATATCTCACAATAAAGGAACTTCTGATTTGGCCACTTGAGAAATTTTTTTAAATCTGTTAGGAAAAAAGAAGCACAGAGAAGATAGCTATAAAGTGCACTTTAGCTGCAACTCTCCTAGGAAACAATACAGCTCTTAATGTTGTAAACCATTTATAACCTTTAAATGTTCAGCATAGCCTTGTTTAAATATGTATAAATATATATAGATAGCCAGTTTTTCATTATCACCAAAGGCTCCTTCTGGTAGTGTAGAAGGACCTTAATATGGGAGTATGTTACACTTACTCTCTCTTTAAGTTCCCTTACACTGCCAGTGTGATGTAAAGGGAGTAGTATAAATGAGAATCTGGCCTCAAGGTTTCTGTGGTACTAGCTCAAAATACACTGCAGGAACACAGATGCACACTTTATGTCTATTGTAGAGTAGTATAGTAATAATGAAAATACAGTCAGATGTCTGAATGACAGAGTAACTCAATTCTATACATTAGAAATTTCAGGAAGTTCTATCAAAGTTAGGTACAGAAACATGCACATGCTGTGCATAGATTGTAACTTACATCCACACAATGTGTACATTCTGGATATGCACTATCAGAACAATAAATAAATGTTAGTAAATAGCTGCTAAGCAATTTGAGAGAGATTCTGATGAAGAATGAAAATCATTCCTTTCTTGCCATTAGTTAGGAAAATAGTCTAGATTCCCTGTTATTTTTGTATTTTGGGGGATCTGTTAGTCCCTGTTAGTCTTAGGATAAAAACATTACGTACTTGGACATCAATGGCTGTTAGCCAAGGTGACCAGGGACACATCCCCATACTTTGGGTGTTCCTAAACCTTTGACTGCCAGAATATAGGACTGGGTGTCAGGGGATGGATCACGAGATAATTGCCCTCTTCTGTTCATTCCCTTTAAAGCATCTGGCACCAGCTACTATCGGAAGACGGGATGCTGGACTAGATGGATCATTGGCCTGACACAGTATGGTCATTCTTATGTTCTTATGTACTGTTATGCAATACAATGTAGGTTGACGTAGTTGCAAGTCTGTAAAACTTCCCTCAGCTTCTCCTTGATCTAATGATTATTCATCTATATAGTTGTCTTTCTTTCTGAAAGATCCCAAAGCACTTTACAAATTTAAGCTACAAACAACAGTTAATTCATCCATTACTGAGATTGAGCCAGGTCTACGGTGAAATGTAGCAGCTGTGTAATGGTACACAGAAATGCCACAGAGCTGTTTAGGACAGGAAGTGAACAATTTAGTTGAAACAGCAGGGGAATTACAGAAACCTAGAATATAATTGCCTGTGTTGGAATTGATGTCCCTGTTTTAAGAAAATTCCCATGGAACCTTTAGTTTCTACAAATAGTTAGGAATTTGGTTTTATATCTCATCTTATTTCTAGGACTAGAAAGACATGTTGTACTTTTGTGTTGAGCTTGGTTACCTAAGGTACACCAACTCTCCTCAGAATCCCTAAAGGAGGAATACCAGAAAGTCAGCATTGTCTAATAGTTTTATAACAAATCTGTGAGACACAGAAGATATGTTTTATACTCTCAATTCTGTCACAAGTTGCTTTTCTTTCTGAGACTGTTTCCTCAGCTGTAAAAAAGGGATAATAATACCCACTTCAACGAGTTGCTGTGAGTCTTAATTCATTAAAGTCTACAAAACAGGCTGAGTTCTCCAGACAAAAGACTTTATAAAAGTGGAAAATAATCTTTTGTTGTTATGGTGAAAACCTTTACTGCGAATGACATCCCCAAAATAAAGTCATTTCTGGGTTTCCATTTTGAAATTCCTCCAGTTACAAATTTAATCCTGCAATGGGTTTTGCTTAAGAGACATTTACGCCCATCTGTGTTGCACTGAAAATTCCAAATACACCCATCACTTTGCAGGATCAAGTGCTGAATTTGGACATGGCTTTATTTCACAAGGCACATGTAAGCTGTAATGACACTTCTCCTTTCAGGCCAAGTGCCACTGAGAGATTCCTGAAAGGTGCTAAATTGCCCTCAACTATGACTGAAGTGGGATTTCAGGATACTCATCACTTTGCAGAACTAGGCCCTTCTTCTGTATTCTGTGAGCAAAATTCTGCCCCAAGAAGCACATGAAACCATTAGAAGCTGCAGCTTTCAGCACAAGTATGGCCACAGACGTGTCACCTTGCAAGTACTATATACACAGTGCTCAAACAAGTAAAATTCTGAGAAGCATATGGGTGAATTAGAAAGCAGCAGACAGGATGATCTGGTAGGATTGGAGCCTGTGAGCGGGTATGCTGATGTGACAGTGCCCCCTTTGGTCAGACAGAGCATTGCACAGAGTTCACTTGATCTAGCTGGGCAATCTGTCCTCTTCTGTTGCCCAAGTCTCTGTATTCTGGGCTATGAAGGGTGTGACATCCCCTGGGGTGCAATCTGGACTGTGAAACTGCTATGCCCTCCTTAACTCTCCTGCCCAGGCTATCTCCTACACTGCTATGCTAGTGAACAGCAAACCCCTTCAGATTCTGTTCACTTAGCCATCAGCATGCAGAGGCACACCAATAAAAGTTACATGAAGGCTCGCACAGCCACTTGTGAACTGTATACAGGGAGATGCCAGCAGATTCCCCCAACCCCCAGCCTTGCACCCAGATATATCCATCTTACTCTGCTCAAGACCTTGATCAATACAAGCTCATTAATTAGTTTGACACTCCATCAAAGGGTAGTGGACAGGCACCAGCCTCTGTAATCTGAGCAGATGCCCTAAGCACTTTAGACAAACTCTCTGGTTTAGATTAAACATCAAAATAAGTTTATTAACTAGAGAAAAATAGATTTTAAGTGATTATAAGTGGTAGGCATAAAGGTCAGAGTCGGTTACATAAGAAATAATAAGTAAATAGTACACGCATTCTAAATCCTAAACTTTATCAGGCTAAGCAAGATTTGAATCAAAAACAGTTTTTCTCACCCTACTGGACGTTGCAGGCAGTTTTCAGTTCACAGTTCATACTAATTAGAAAGCCTTCTAGTTAGCACCATCCCTTACATGCCCCACCCCTCCACTGCCCTTCATCTCCAGTTCAAGGAGACTTTTTTTGTCTTCCAAAGAATCTTGCTTCCAGGTGTTGAGATGTGGGAGGAGAGAGAGGCCCCTTGGTGATGTCACTGTCCCCCATTATACTTTTCTTCAGTGCTGGAAAAATTCATGCTGTGTCATGGGGCTAGGCAGCCCCCCTGTGTACCGTGAGCTGCTGACCATCCTTCATTATGAACTGCAAATTTTTGCTTGCACTTTTTGTCTATGTGAGGTTTGGCGTGTAAGGCCTCTGTGTTTGCAGTTTCTGTCCTCTCTGATAGGCTCGTCTGTGGGCGTTTCCCAAACGCACAACATGTTTCAGTAACAAACCTATAGCAAAATCTCATAACTTTATACAATGATGATACATACATTTTAACAGGATAATGAGGTTCATCAAATCAAGTCTTTTCAAATGATAGCTCACAAGGCGTGCTTTGGACAAAACATATAATCATACAGTGGGGGTGAATATGTGGGTACACGATGTACCCTCAGCTACAGTACGTCACAGTGGGTTTTCTCCTTATATTTGGTCCTGCTACTGAGGGAGTCTGAAAATCCCTTCAGTCCTTAAGCCTCTGAGCGGCCAATAGGGGAATCCAGGCCTGCCCACTTCACTGCGTTCCAACTCAGGGCCCTTAAACCAGGCAGGCACAATCAGGTGTTAACAACTCCTGCTGTACCCTGAGCTCCTTCCTACCTCCCTGGGTTTCTGTGGGCTTCTCCAGCCTTTAGATCCAGTAGTCCCCTCTCTGGGGTGTGGTCTCTGGATGGGTTCTCAACAGCTTGATGGAATGAGTTTCCTTCTTTGGGCTGTTTGCTCCTCTAGTAGCCATCCTTGCCCCTCTGCTTCTCTTATCCTCCCAGCCTCTGTGAGGCTGCCAGTCAGTGCTGGCCAGATGTTCCTGAACTGACCCTTTGGTTGCCAGGCCAGCATGTATATACCCCATGATAGAGCCCTACAGAACATGTCTTATGAAACCCTCATATCTTTTTCTTCCTGTTTGCATTCTCTTTCTTTCAACTTAATCCTATGGTGCTATCCAAAGGTTTGTTAGGATTGGGACCCCATTGCGCTACATGCTATACACAGAAAGATATGGTCCCTGCCACAAAGAGGTTGCAACATAAATAGACGTGCTTGTTAGCTCATCGGGGCAGGGCCCATGTCTGCCCATCTTTTTGTATAATATCAAACACCATGAGGCCTCATTGCTAAGTGGAGTCTTTCATGTTGCACATCAACATAATAATAGAATTCTAACCCACCAGGTTAGATAAATATAGATTTTGTCCTTCAGTGTAAAATGCTGAAAATGTTGTACTGCAACGTATTCTAAGGGTGAACGTCTATCATATTTCTGTAGTTTACACATTATCAACTGTAAAAAAAATAATTCTTAGAGCCTGATTCTTCTATCTGCTGCATATTTCTTTTTACACATTGCAAATGAGCCCTGTAGCAAATTGTTTTCTCTTCTCCAGAATAGGGCTAATTCGGGGGGCCAAATTACACACTTGGCAGTAGTTGTAAATGTTTCCCCCACTGCACCAATGTAAAATATCAGACTTTTGGCAGCTAAACAATATTTGTGAACTATGGGGGAAGTGAGTTTTTCCCCCCTTCTCTGAACGTGGCAAACCAGTGACTTGGTCTACCTTTGTGAAATTAAAATTAAGACACTGATGTGCTTTTTACTTAGTTTAGGTCTCAATTCAGCAAATCTATTAAGAACACGCTTAACTTTAAGCCGGTGGCTATGTCTAATTTTCATGGGACGTAGGCACGTGCTGGAGCCTTAGAGATGATTAAAGTTAGAATATTTTGAAAGAATCTCAAAGTTTTTTTGAAAATTTTTTTTTTAAATTTCACTGCAACACTAGGCGGTAGTTATACATTATGGCTTTTAATTATTTACTCCCAAGTCCATCCTCTAATTAGTTAATATTTTCTGCCTACATCCCCAAGATATATCGATATGAAAAATTTGGCCTTTATGTGATGATGGGGTCTTTGGCATTGGTATTTGACATGACTTTAACATTATAGCATCAGGAGGTTGAGTTCTTGGTTTTCTACAACAAAGGTGTCATTGCAATTAAGATACTGTGCCTCGTGGGGGGAGGTTTTAAAGCCACTATAAGACCTTGCAGCATTTTTCTCTGTTTATATTTCTCTCATACATACAGTTGCAAAAGTACTTGCTTTAGGCAACTATTATATAGCTGAATATGAATAGTTTACATAACTGTCTGAGTAGTGTGTCACGTAGAAAACTAAAGTAACAATTTTATTTGTGGGCCAATTAATGAAATTAACATTTAAAAAACAACAAAAACTGGAAAGAGTAAACTTAAAATAAATCAACATTATTATTCCATCCACTACTTCAACCTTGATCATCAGTAGTGTCATAGTCAATAATAGCTAGACTTACAACTAGATCTCTGTGAATGAGTGGAAATAGCTGTTGGCCAGACTCTGCCCTGGCTACATGGTGGAACCCCTTTTGATGGTAGTAGAAGTTTAATGCATAAATCAAGTATAGTAAAAGGGCCTTGTTTATATAAAGTAGGTTTAGAATTCCCTTGTGGCCCCATTTTTTTTTAAAGTTTAACATTGAAATTATGAACATGCAAGAAGTCAAGAGTTAAAAATTAATATTTAGGTATGCAGTGACCCTTGCTGGCATGTTGATTTCTGTTTGTGATATGCGGAAGCAGAAAGTGAATTTTCTGAGCCATTAAGAAAACAGTTATGGATATAACACATCTTATATTTAGTTTACAGTAGATCTTTCAGCTTAGAAGGATTTCTGTTCTCCTTATGTAATTAATGAAAGAGTTAAAGGCACAGTAGTAGGTTAGGTTGGAGCAGAAAGGATACTAACAT